TGCTCCCTGGTCAAGGGCTGAGGAAGGTGGAATTGGGCTGGAATGAAGAAGTCGGGGTGCAGGAGTAGGGCCTTGTCTGCTCTCCTGGTGGTTGCTGGGTTGTGCGAAGGAGTTACTGGTCTGTGCCAAAGTTTGTTCTGATCCCCTCCTGCCCTCTTGGCGCCATATCCCCATTTATCTATCTATGGGCCTCTGTTTCTTCTGCTGGGCCCCTTTTGCCTTCTTGGTTGTGGGGGTTCCACCATCCTAGGGGGACAGGTAGTTGCTGATGGGAGTAGAGTCTGGCCCTGCTCTACGGTTGTACATGGTCTGTTCGCTTGTTGGACCGTGAACCCCTTGAGGGCAGGGTCCAGGTCTGAATTGCCTCTGGGCTCCCAGGTCCAGCATGAAGCCTGTAATCCTTGGGTTCTGACCAGAGGGCTCAGGCCCTTCTGGCCTCAGTTATTGGGCTGGTCAAGGCAACACAAGCCTGAGTTGGCCCTTTTCCCTCACAGGTGGCATGGGTGGGGGTAGGGGTGGGTACTGAATTAGAGTATATGGCTCCTTGTGTCCAGCTTCCTCTTCCTGGCTGGCCCAAGGCTTGGGAACAGTGGCTGCCTTTCTGGGGCAGTCAGGGCGCCTGGCCAGAGTATGCCTGTCGGGCATGGTCAGCTCTTCAGCAAGCCTCGGTCCTCCTCTTAACCCAGAGAAGGCCCCGGGTTATTGGTGTTGTTCTTGGCGGACCACCGGGCCCCTCAGCAAACAGGCAGGCGAGTGTGCACCCGGCCTGGGCCTGTTTGTGTTGGCCTCGCCAGGCGGGGGATTAGCTCAGCTGGGCTGCTAATTGCCTCCGAAGTGCCGGCCGGGATGCTGACAAGGGCTGGGCCTCTAGGCCCCTCCTTCCCAGCAGGCACTATGCCAGGCTAGGGGGCCTGGCCCAGGAGGGCCCCTTTCTCCCCTGTCAGCGCCTGCTTGGCCTAGACCCTTGAGATGCGGGCAGGGGGTCACTAGGGCTGGCGGCTCAGGAAGGAGTGGGGGGAGATGCTTATGAAGTCATCGCCTGGGCCCGGCCACACTCCTCCCTCCCCCACATCCTTTAGACATCCCCTCATACCCCCCTTCTTGAGTCAGATGCCTTCTCCTGAAGCTCAGCACTTTCTCCTCTTACTAGGAAGCTGCTGGGCTCTTTTGCCCAGATGCCCTCCGGCTCCTCAGTGCCTTCCTCCCTTCTCATGCCTTTCTCTCCCTCTGTTCCCGTGTCTGTGCTCCCACCCTCTGCTTCTTCCTCACTCCATTTCTCAGCCTGTCTTAGCTCCTCTAAGTTGCCTAAACCCTATACTTCCTTTTACACCCTTGCTGTGATCTCTGGCCCTTCCTTGGCCCAAGATCTGCCTTGAACCTGGCCTTGGGTCTTCCCAGACTTCCCTTGGACCACTGGCTGCCAAGAAGGGGCTGAGAAGGAGGTCTGCTTTATCACCCAGACCTCAGCCCTGAGCTCTGAGGGCAGCTGTCAAAGATGGATCTGCACACAGCCTCTGAGCTGACCCACCCCACCTGGCAGTTCTGAAAGCCGTCCGTCTATACAGGCGGAGCCTGGCCCCACTGCCTATGCTTCCCACAGCTCTGACTCCCACTCCACTTCTGACTGGGCCCTCCTTGTCCCCTGCTCCCTGTCTGAGCCCTGCCTCTTGCCCATTGGACCTTGGTTCAGCTTCTCCTCTTGGTGCCAGGGGCAGCTTTGCCATTGCCTTGCTTTCTGCTGCCTGGGAATCCCACCCTGGGATTCTCTGTCTCTGTTCCCAGCCTAGGATCTCTGCCCTGAGACATCTGTCTGCTTCTGATTTCTGGGATGAGGCCAAAGGAGGACCACAGCCTTGAGGTACCTGCCTTCAACTCTTACCCAATTCCCCACTGTCTCTGCTTTCCTCGTTCTATCCCCTTTCTGGCCCCCTCAATCTTAGAGCGATTTTAACCGCCTCCCACACTCCTGTAAAGGGGATAATACTAATACTTACAATAATAGCTGCCATTTACATGTGTCATTTTATTTATCATCCCCGATAAATAGGTTCTATTATTATTTAGCCCCGTTTGGAACTGGGGCAAGGGGAGTAGCACTTTATTATGAATGAAAAAATGAGTCCCAGAGAGGGACAGTGAGTTGCCCAAGGTTGCATATAGTGAAGGGATTCCAGTCCCTGTCTGTCTGATTGCAAAGCTTGGGTCCTTTTCACAGTTCTAAACAGTGGTTGGATGGACACCTTCATCTCCTCGCTCTGCCATCGTGGACTTTGGAACTGGGGCAAGGGGAGTAGCACTTTATTATGAATGAAAAAATGAGTCCCAGAGAGGGACAGTGAGTTGCCCAAGGTTGCATATAGTGAAGGGATTCCAGTCCCTGTCTGTCTGATTGCAAAGCTTGGGTCCTTTTCACAGTTCTAAACAGTGGTTGGATGGACACCTTCATCTCCTCGCTCTGCCATCGTGGACTCTATTACCAGGCTCTCCTGCGCCCCCCCCCCC